TATTTTTCTAGCTACTATGAATATTTTTCTTCATTTTCACTTTCAGCATTTGGACTGTGACATGATATGAATTCATTTCTGTTAATCCTGCCCTTAGTTTGTTGCGTTTCATTTCATTTAATTTGTGGTGGGGGGGAGAGTTGGTGTTGGATCTCATTCTTTCCTCTCAGCCTGCAGCCCCAGCTCCACATATAACACATTTTGTTCATCCATTTATCTGTTTTTATTTTTCTACTTTTGTTTGTCTCTGTGTTTCAGTTCATGGGTTACATTGACAGACTTTGAGTTTACCAATATTATATCATGTGTTACAATCTCCCATTTAACCTGTCCAGTGAGTTTTTCATGTCAGATGTTACTTTTCAGTTTTAGAACGTCCATTTGATTGTTTTTAAAGATTCAAATTTTTTGCTGAAATTCTTAACATATGTTAATTAGATCAAGCTTGACTACATTTTTCTATCATTGCTGAACACATTTATTATACTTATTTTAAAGTCCTAGTCTGGAAAAAAAAAAAAAAAAGTCCTGATCTGGTAACTGCATATGTGCATTATTTATGTATCTGCATCTCGTGTGTGTGTGTGTGTGTGTGTGTGTGTGTGTGTGTGTGTGTTGTCTGCTGTATTTCATTATTGGCAATATTTTCTTGCCTTTTTCACAGTCTTCTGGTTTTTTTTCTATTTTAAGTCAGATGTTGTGTCTAAGAAAACCACAGAGGTCCAGATGAAGTTCTCGTCTACCAGAAAGGGCTCCCTCATTTATTTATTTATTTATTTTTTAAATGGATGGGATAGCGATGTGATCACTTTATTGAGAGAAATAGAAGGATTAATAGTTTTGGTAACACTGAGTTATCCCAAACTTGCAATCTACAAGAAATTCAGTTCTTCCTTTGACTTATTTTAGTTATTCAGCATCTGACTACACACAGCATCAAAGTTTGGCAAATGTCTTGAAGGTGATACGAGGCATATTTTCTTTTTTTTTTTTTCTTTTTTTAAATTCCAGTACAGTTAACATACAGTGATATATTAATTTCGGTGTACAACATGGCAATTCGACAATTCTATTCACTACTCAATGCTCTTGATAAGTGTACTGTTAATACCTTTCATCTATTTCACCCATCCCCCACTCCACCTCCCCTCTGGTAACCATCAGTTTGTTGTTCTCTATAGTCAAGCATCTGTTTTTCGGTCTCTTTTTTTTTTTTCTTTTATTCATTTCAATTATTTTGCTTCTTAAAATCCACATATGAGTGAACTTATGTGGTATTTATTTGTCTTTCTCTGACTGACTTGTTTCTTTAGCATCGTAATACTCTCTAGCTAGCTCCATCCATACTGTTGCAAATGGCAAGATTTCATTCTTTCTTATGGGTGAGAAATAGTCACATACATGTATATATACCACATCTTTTTTATCCATTCATCTCTTACTGGACACTTGGGCTGCTTCCATAATCTGGCTATTATAAATATTGCTGCATCTTCTTTCATTTTTTCCTTCCCTACCCCCCATGACTCCTTCTGCCTTCCCTCTTAAATGCCTCATATCAGAGAGATCATATGATAATTGTCTTTCTCTGACTGATGTTTCACTCAGCATAATGGGATACAAATCATAAGAGACTCTTAATCTCACACAACAAACTGAGGGTTGCTGGAGGGGTGGGGGGGGTAGGGATATGGTGGCTGGGTGATGGATATTGGGGAGGGTATGTGCTATGGTGAGTGCTGTGAAATGTGTAAACCTGATGATTCATAGACCTGTACCCCTGGGGCAAATAATACATTATATGTTAATAATAAATATGGGGTACCTGGGTGGCTCAGTGGGTTGAGCCTCTGCCTTCGGCTCAGGTCATGATCTCAGGGTCCTGGGATCAAGCCCCACATCAGGCTCTCTGCTCAGTGAGGAGCCTGCTTCTCCCCCTCTCTCTCTGCCTGCTGCTCTACCTACTTGTGATCTCTCTCTGTGTCAAATAAATAAATAAAATCTTTTGAAATAATAAATAAATAAATAAATAAATAAATAAATCTGCAATGAACATAGGAATGCACATATCTTTTTGAAGTAGTGTTTTTTTATTCTTTGGGTAATACTCAAGTATTTGAATTTAGTGAAATTATTGAATCATATATTAACCCTATTTCTACTTTTTTGGTAGCCACAGTGGCTGCCCCAGCTTAGATTCCCACTAATAGTTATTTTCTTCACATCCTCACCAACACTTGTTGTTTCTTGTATTGTTAATTTTAGCCATTCTGACAGGTATCAGGTGATAGCTCATTGTGGTTTCGATTTGCGTTTCCCTGATGATGAATGATATTGAGCATTTTTTCGTGTGTCTGTTGGCCATCTGGATGTCTTCTTTAATACCAACCATGTTTTTTAAAATCTCATCATCCTTCAGTTTTGTCATTTGCTTCTTTGTGAACAGTAAAATCCCCACTGGTTTTTCTGTTCTGAAACTATGGCCTTCTGCCAAGGGACACACTTGGTTTCTCAGCTTCTAGCTATTTTCAGACACAGTTATCATCATCAGTTATGACTATGCTGCTGACTTCACTGACTCTCATACACTGTTTTTGGTTTGTTTATAGCTCCTTCTTTTTTTTTTTTAAGCTTTTATTTATTTATTTGACAGAGAGAGATCACAAGTAGGCAGAGAGACAGGCAGAGAAAGAGAGGGGGGAAGCAGGCTCCCTGCTGAGCAGAGAACCTGATGCAGGGCTTCATCCCAGAACCCTGGGATCATGACCTGAGCTGAAGGCAGAGGCTTTAACCCACTGTTTATAGCTTAGGCACCCAGGCACCCCTGTTTATAGCTCCTTCTGTCTAGTCCTTATTTCCACCCAGACACCCCTGTTTATTGCTCCTTCTGTCTAGTCCTTGTTTCCTGAAAACTAAAACTTTGTAAGGTTTATTTTTCTTAGAATCATTTTTTAAGTTCTTATTTAAGTTCCAGTTTGTTAACATACAGGGTAATGTTAGTTTTGTTTGTAAAATATAATGATTCCACACTTCCATACAACATTGAATCTTTCGACTTTGCTTCACAGTCTTCTCTGTTTTGTCTCAAAATCTACCAAATGAAAAAAAAAAAATATATATATATATACCAAATGGCCTGTGAGAAACTTGATTTGAGGACTGTCAAATCTCCAGTATTGTCATGCTAATCCATGTAACCACTACAAGTTTTATCAGTTTCTTTCCCCAGACATAGGTTCTCTGACTTTGCCAAGATCTTATCCACAAAAAATACAGAAACAACAATAGTACCAGATTGCTGACAGAACTCTGCTCTGGAATTTGGGCTTATTTAGTTATCATTCCATAGATCTTTGATGCCTAAAAAACTGCATTTTCAAAAACCTATTTAAAAAATCCTTCTTCTTTTCTCATTTTGACTTTTCTTTACCAACTATAGTTTATCTGGAAGCAAAAATGTTATCTATTGAGCCTTTGCTTTATATTACTGATATTCTCCTTTATCCCATGAGGACTTCTTAAAAAGCTTATTTTAAATTTTTATTAAATTTGTGCTCTTTATTTATTCTATTTATTTATTCTATCACATAAAATAGAAATTAATTTTGCTGCACTACTGTTAGAAGAGTTGTACTGCTTAGGTATCTAATAATTTTTGTCTATGGCTCAAGTCATCTGGTGGTTTCAGCAACTCTGTGAATGTATACAGGTTTGGGTTCTCTGCTCTATTACATCTTCTGGCAGTTTGGATGAGTTAAAGGATTGAGAGTACCTTGAGGAAGTCCATTTTTCTTATAATTTTTAAAGTTCTGTGATTCCTTGTTTCTTTCTTTCACCTCCTGAGTGGCCTCAGACTATTTTCCCTTCCAGCTCTGGGATCCAGCCACCCTGATCTTCATTCCAACACAAGGCCTTCCTACGTGCTGTTTGTTTTTCTCTCTGACATACTTCTTTCCTTCTGGATTCCTTCCCTCATTTGTTAATAAATTTTTCATTTCTCAGATCTATCTGTATAGATAGAAGCATAGTAATATCAGAAAGGTCTTCACTAAATTTTTAGTCTAGATCCGGTTCTTTGTTAAAATCTGATAATCCCTTTCTAAGAACTTATTTGAATTGTAGTTTTATCAATGTGGTTATTTTATTAATGTTTCTCTTCTCCTCTAATTTGTAAGCTCCATGAAAGCAGACATAATTCATTGATTTGTACAAGTAGGTATCTCCAGCACTTAAAATTCAGTGCCTGACCAATGGCAGGAAAAATATCCTTGTTTTTGAATGAAGTAAATTCTGTCCATTTATTTCACTCCAGTAGAGACTACCTATTTCCATTCTCTGTAACTTGTGTGGCTAACAAAGTTAGCATTTTCTGGCTCTCTATCACTGCTTTTATTATTTTTTTCTATAACCACTTTTAAGTCATTATTTCCTATCTTACCAAAACTGTAATTTTCCTTGGTATTCATTTTTTCAGGCAATTTTATCTTCTTACCCTGACCATCCATTCCTCTAAAATATGACTGTAAGGAGGTAAAGGAAGACTGACATGTTATATAAACCTACACAGGAATATAACACTGAAGTGACAATATTTATTTTGAAAGTACTGGAAGATTTGAGTGTCATAAAAATATGATTTACTGAATACCTCTGTCCCAAAATGTTCCTTCACATTCTTTATTTTCTTCTTATTATTCCATGTTATAAATATATTGTTAATTGTATTTATCCTGTTATATTGTTATAGAACACAGACAGGAACACAGATCCTGGCCAAAAACAAACAAAAAAAAACAAGTGGCACTCGAGACCTTTGAGGGTGGGAGGTTTATTTTAAGCCAGCAGGCCCAGAGGAGAGTAATCTCTCAAGGTCTGAGCCCTGAGCACAAACAAAGGGGGTAGTTTATACACTTTTACTTCCATATCTGTGCCACTCTTGTGGCTTCAGCCAGTGGGGCTAGGGGAAAGCCTGGAATGGCCCTGGGGCCAGGACTGGGATTCCCCTGCTGGATTGGTCAACCACCTCAGAACACAGATTTTTCTTATCAACATATTATGAATTAAAGGTGAATAATAATAGGTGACTTCAATATTTAATGATATCTAATTTCAGCTAAGTAAGTATTTTTCATGGTTGAAGTCATCACACTGGGGAATTTCAGGTGTTTCTTTTCCATTTTTTTTTTCTTTCTGATATATTTTACTTAATCCGAATATATTATCTTCTTGCAGATACAATAACCATTATTCTGGCAATCTTCAGCAATCACCTGGCCAAATTTTATATGTACACATTTATTGTTAGCATTCTCAAGTCCTTGAATTTGAAGCCTAGAAGAGAAAATACCTTCCATTAATTCTTACATTTGCTTTACATTTCAACTGTATTTTTTTTAGATCCATAATGTTCCAATATACTTATAAAGAAACAGAAATGTTGAGGTGCCTGGGTGGCTCAGTGGGTTAAGCCTCTGCCTTCAGTTCAGGTCATGGTTTCAGGGTCCTGAGATTGAGCCCAGAATCCGAATCCAGGCTCTCTGCTCAGCAGGGAGCCTGCTTCCCCTCTCTCTCTGCCTGCCTCTGCCTACTTGTGATCTCTCTCTCTGTCAAATAAATAAATAAAATCTTAAAAAAAAAAAAAGAAAGAAGCAGAATGTTGCTTTCTGGTTCTCTAACAATGCAAATAAGGAATATATTAAGCATCATCAAAATTTAATATTAAATCTGGAATTGGGATGGTAACACTGCCTTTAATTCTGGCAATCATCTCTGCGACCTCAGGCAATTTCAGAGTAGTTTTCATTTTCACAGAGGTTTACCATGGTTCTTTTGTACATTAGCATTCTGATAAATACTTTCTGTTGCACATACAACACAACATTAATCATCAATAAAAGTTCATTCTTTCCTGGAAAAATTTAGCTTGTTTCTTCCAGAGTAAAGACCAGAATCCTCATTGTTAGTAAGTATTAGCAACAATTTCAGAAGATCAAGTATATGAATACATCAGTGAGAATCAGCGATTCAAAATATGCGCTGTAATTCATGAAGAGGAGCATACATTTACTATAGTAAGTGCAGCAAACAGGATGTTTGAATAACAAGACCACGACCACCCAAGTGGCAGAACCAAGATGTAAATCCAGGCAGTTTAGCTTCAGAGTCTGTGCTATAAATTACTTACTATATTAAACTCTGTAAGTTAAAACTGGGAAACCAGGGTATTACAATTTTGGTATTTCCCCAAATCTTGCTAACCTGGCTTTAACACACAACATGGTCTAGCTGATCATGTTAGGAATCACATAGGGAATCGTGTAGAGATGTGTTCACAGGAAATGAAATGAAATACCAACAAATAGGATCCCAGGCTGGAGACAGAAAGCATCAATTACGAAGCATGAAACATAAAAAAGGAAACATGGAGATGAAGAGTAATGATAAATACAGTGAATCAGATACTTAATCGGAAAATACAGGATGGGAAGTTTCACCAGTTTTTGTTTTTGTTTTTTAAGATTTTATTTATTTATTTGACAGAGAGACACAGCAAGAGAAGGAACACAAGCAGGGGGAGTTGAGAGGGAGAAGTAGGCTTCCTGCTGACCAGGGAGCCTGATGTGGGGCTCGATTCCAGGACCCTGGGATCATGACCTGAGCCAAAGGCAGATGTCTAATGACTGAGACACCCAGGCTTCCCCCTCCGCTTTTTTTTTTTTTTTAAGATTTTTATCACCAGTTTCATAGTTTGATGGCTACAAACTTTTTTTGTAATATATTTGACTATGTATTATATATACAGGTGTTTGAAATAAATATTTAAATTAGAATGGTAGATTGGAAAGACATGATCTTGAAAAATATAATCCATCAAAGCAACATATTACAATTTTTCTGATTTTCAAAATTAATTCTTTCTGCTGCATAATTATCACTAAGTTTCATAAATGTGGGGTTTGGTTTTTTTTAGTTTTTTTAAAAATGTGTTCATGATACAATAGAGTACAGCATGGAGGGGATGTATGGACACCTGATATTCAATGTGTTGATTCAGAATCATTGTATTGTTTCAAACCTTCAGCCACTATTGCATCCATAATCTGATAATAAAATTGCTAACTGTATATAGAATTGTAGACAGTTGTTACCACTTTTTCAGGAGAGTTTTGTAAGAATGTTTGGCTTTTTCAAACATATCAGTAGGAGAATTTTATAGTTAATATTTGAATCACTTATTTTAGCTAATGTTGTCACTAGTGATGTGAAGTTTCTTCTCTCCACCACTCCATTCAATTGTTCATGGTTTGATTTCACATTGGATGAAGAGGTCCAGAGAAGTTTCCATGCCATGATCAAAATATTTGTGATATTCAGTGTATTAAAATTTTATTGAACTCTTCTTTAGAATGTAATTTTATACCTCCCTCTTCTAGATAACCTAATAAAATCCTCTGAGTTAAAGCCTAGAAATCTTTTTTAGATCGTGTATGGACTGAATAGTGTGTCCCTAAAATTCATGCCTACCCAGAACTCAGAATGTGACATTATTTGGAAATAGGTTCTTTATAGGTATAATTGAGTTAAGAATTACAATGAAATCATATTGGATTGGGCCCTAAATCCAATGACAGTATCATTATGAGAGAGACATGGGCACACAGAAATGCAACGAAGGTAGCAATGTGAAACTGAAGGTATACATTTGAATTAGGTCAAGAACTGCCATCACTGTGGCCTCAGGGGATTTAAGGATATCTTCCATTTTCACTGAGATTTACAATATTTTTTTTTCTACATTAGCATTTTGGTAAACAAGTTCTACAGTATATACAATACTACAAATTTGTTGTTAATCATCTATAATAAATCATTTTCTCCCTAGAAAAGTTTAGCTAGCTCCTTCAGGAGAATGAAGCTTCTAGAAAAAACCAACTCCACCAATACCCTGATTTCAGACATCTGACAACCTAACCTATGAGGGAATAAATTTCTGTTCTTTTGAGCAACTCAGTTTGTGATAATTTGTTACGATGGCAAAGAAGTAGAAAGCAAGTAGCAAACAAGTAGAAAATACATTTGGTGGGTCCCAGAGAGGTGGGAAGTACACTGTAAGAAAATTCATTATGTACATGTATTAGAGTCAAACAAACCACATGAAAGTTAAAGTGACAAATATAATATAATCTTGTACAAGTTTGTTTATTTAATAACCATTTAACAAAATGCAAAAGTATAATACCTTAGTCATGAACTAATAACCAATTGAAATAAGTTATGAGGGGCACCTGGGTGGCTCAGTGGGTTAAAGCCTCTGCCTTCGGCTCAGGTCATGATCTTAGGGTCCTGGGATCGAGCCCCACATCAGGCTCTCTGCTCAGTGGAGAGCCTGCTTCCTCCTCTCTCTCTCTCTCTCTCTCTGCCTGCCTCTCTGCCTACATGTGATCTCTGTCTGTCAAATAAATAAATAAAATCTTTAAAAAAAAAAAGAAATAAGTTATGAAAGTAAAATTGTTTAGTATTTTGACTCCCTTCTGTCCATCTCTCCCACCTTTTCCTGGTTGATTTATTACAGATAGCTATTACAAAATCTAACATCTGTCCACTTCCACACTGAATATTTAGATTTCAAAGAAAAGAACATTATTCTGGACTGAAATTTTAAAACAGCAAGAAACTTACTTGTGCAGGGTAACATCTGTGCCATCTAGCCAGACCCATTTTAGTTGCTCATTGTTGTAGTATAAACTGATCCAAAACTTTGCTTGAAATAGACCACATTGCATCTTTGACAATTTTATTACAAAATTCTGCGGAGTGAGGAAAATAAATTAAAAAGCAGAACATTCCCTGAGTAAGAATATAATGGTTCAAAAATGTTTCATTTATAGACTTCCCTGTGAATTCTTTGCTCTAATGTATCAAAGGAATTTGGAGGAATTAACCCTAGATTTTTTATCCATAGACAAAGTGATGCAGTAGTTAATGACTCATTTGTTCACCAAGCAATTTTTTTTCAGTAAACATTATGTTCTAGGCATTTTCTTAAGTTATGGACTGCAAAAGTGAGCAAAAGTCATATATCTGTAGTCATTTGAATTAGGTACTTGAAAATAAAACCTTAATTGAGTCTATGTAATAAACAGTGATCCATACAACACAAATGAAAATACAAGATCAAAGAAGGAAAATTAGCAGGTGATTTTAACAGGCCTTGATGAACCAAGACTTTTTCCGAGGGGATTACCTAATAAGTTAAAATCTTAAAAATGTGATGCATTAATCAAGAGAAGACAGTTTGGGTGGGAGGTGAAGGAGATGAAACATGTCACAGACAGATGGGACAAGGACATGAAAGAGAACAGCGGACCATGATGAATTTAAAGAGCTTCTATATAGATGGAGACCACTGTGTGCTTCCCTTAGAACAGTGTGATAGAGAGTCTATCAGCAAAGAAGAACAGGGAAATAGGGTTCAGACTGCAAATGGCAGTCTGTTATTTGTACTTTATCTTAAGTACTGAGGAAAGCCACTCAAGTATTATTGAAATATAATTTCAGCAGTATAGTCTCTGCTACAACATAGAAAGTGTTTCTGTCTTTCTGACTCTCTCTGACTCTGACTCTAATATAGACTACAATATAGAAAGTGTTTCAGCAGAATAGAAAACTTGAATGATTGATTGCTATCATTCTTAAAACTTTCAGATACTGGAATTTATGAAACAAAATACTGTAATTACCATCTCTTCTTCCATATTCAATTTAAGAAAGCTTGACTCTAAACCAATGCAATAATGGTTACATTTTTCCCAAGGATGTATGTCCCTTGAAAAATAGTAACAATTTTCTCCATGTTGATGGCAGTTGTTTGAACAGGTAGGATAACTCTGAACTATTAAAAAAATATAATAAAACAGAATGCCTTCCATCAGTGCAAGTCACATACAATAAGTTCATACAGTAAATCTACCCTCTACAAACAAAAATATTATTTGAGTTTTTCATTATAAACTTTATGCACTTAAATTTAGTATTACATTTATGCTAAAGTAATAATTCACCTCATTGAAAACATTTTAGTCTTCAAGATTCATAAGATGCATATTAAGGAATATTTATCTATTTTTTTTAACTTTTTTACTATGTTCAGTTAGCCCACATATAGTACATCATTGGTTTTTCATGTAGTGTTCAATGATTCTTTAGTTGCATATAACACCCAGAAATATCTTTTTCAAATCACAAAATTTGAAGTATATCAAAACATATTTAATGCACATCTCTTAAAAATATCAACACAATGTTCTTTGTGTTCAAGATGAAAAATATGTAATACAGTTTTTTTCAGTTGTGTAGTTTTTATTTTTAATTTAATTTTTTTTCAGTGTTCCAAAATTCATTGTTATGTTTTAAAAGTCTGGAAGTTTCAAAAATTAGACAATGAGGAAATGTATAAATAAATCACAAATAGATATCTCCCCAATAAAAATCAATGATGCATTATCAAAATACAGAGTATTTTGTTCAACCTTAGGTCACCATTTGATAGTGCCCTCATTTTGAGTGTGTAAATTTTATATATATATATATATATATATAGAGAGAGAGAGAGAGAGAGAGAGAGAATATCTATATATTCTATATATATATAACATCAAAAATACTTTTTGATATACAAGTAGATTTGATTCATACTTTGAAATGTTTTATTTGCCTCCTTGTTAGAGAAGAGATTTCCTGGATATCCTTTCCCTTGACATGATTTCTGATTCACTGAAGGAAAATCAATCAGAAAGGTCAGTTTTCTTTTTTTTTTTTTTTTTTTTTTAAAGATTTTATTTATTTATTTGACAGACAGAGATCACAAGTAGACAGAGAGGCAGGCAGAGAGAGAGAGGGAAGCAGGCTCCCTGATGAGCAGAGAGCCAGATGCGGGACTCGATCCCAGGACCCTGAGATCATGACCTGAGCCGAAGGCAGCGGCCTAACCCACTGAGCCACCCAGGCGCCCCAGAAAGGTCAGTTTTAAACTCAAAAAAACAATAACTGGACATTCCTATGTGCAAGACACTGTACTAAATTTGGATATAAAAATTATTAATGAAACATGACTTGCTTCAAGGAACTCAAGTATAATAGAGTCATAAACATAAAATCAACTGACAATAGAAGTTTGACAAGTTCATATAGCAGTTGATAACAAAAGAGGGAAATTTGTGAGCAAAGGAAAGTGTGAGCAAGTTTTTCATAGAGAAAGTTTTTTAAAAAAGATTTTTTGTAAAAGGCGAAAGATTTATGCGATCTGAAGAGAAACCAGATTTTTTGGGCAAAAGAAATACAAGAACAAATAATAAGGCATTTCACAGAGTTCGTGATATGGTTAAAAATGGACAATTTGATATGTCTCTAAAATGTAATCTTCAGTTCTGTGCCCAAATATTATTCATGGTCAAGAAACTGAATTGACAAAAGAATACATTATTTTCAACAGATTTCATTATGTGAGTAATGGAAAAGCAGATTTCTGTTTTATATAGTGACTTACACATTGTGGCTAAGATTCCAACAGACCAAGTAAGCATCAGGCAAATGATCCACGGAATCACTGCAATGAATTTCCATGGAGATGGAGTACAAAGATCTGTAGAAAGAGATGAATAAAATGTGTGAGTAATAGCTGTTTATTCAGAGTCCTGCTTCTATTTTTGGTGTAGTAAACTGTGCAACAAAATGGCTCACCATACTAAAAGTGGTAGAAAGGAGGGCAATCTGTAAAATCATAATTCATTTTCAATGAATGAGATCACTGAATTAAAAAAGCAGTCAGATGAGCTGAATTCTAAAGAGGGAATAAGCCCTGTTTCTGTGGAAATACAGAAAGCACTATTTAGCTTTTGAGAAAACGTAGGAGGAAAAGTGGCAGCCATCAAGTCATGAAAGAATTTTAACAAATATCACGAGGCTTTAGAATTGCTTGCAGCTCTAGGCCAATTGGAGTTCACATCTGGTTGCCAGTGATTCTCCATTGTCTTTTACTGGGTGTTTGTGGAGAGATGAGGAAAGTTCAGAAGACCTGAGAGACTCCACTTTCTGTGGCACAGTCTATAAGGTGTGCCAAAGTTTGTGGGTTTAGTGGATAAACCTAGAGATCATCCCTGCCCTTGGCTCTGAGTAAAAGGTGATAAATGCCTGCTTCAGAGGGAAAAACATAAAACCCATCTGGTGCCCAGAATGTCCTGACTCCAGGACCTTGAAAAAGACAAGCCACCACTGGGGAAGGAGAAATAAAATGCTGCATCACTTCCCACTGCATCTTCCATTCTAGGAAAAGTTCTTTTGCTAGTGGAGGAAAAAGTGGAAGGCCAGCCTGCTGTGTAAATGGACAAAAGCCACCTGCTTCCAGAAAAGGAACAAACAAACAAACAAAAAAAAAACAACTTATGCTCAGTATACTAAAATGGTACAAAGTGAAGCATTTCAAACGGGTAAGAGATTGGGAACTGCCTCACACACAAGATCCACGATTACAGACCAGATGCCACAGAGGAAGGGAGAGAAAATCCACCTGCTTGAGCAATAGACTCTACATTAAGTGGAACACGTTTCTAAACAATAAAGCATTGAAAACTAGGTCTGGAGATAAATCAGTTGTAATTTCTAGACAGGGAATTTCAAAGAACGGTGATTGACAGGTTGAAGCATCTTATGGGGGAATGAAACTGTCATAAACATATGGGTCACATCAGTAAAGATAGCAAAATTTATAAGAAGTGTAAAATGGAAATTCTATCACTTGTTGGCAGGATCGAGGCAGCAGGTAAAACGTCCTGACTGTCACTATAATTATACTGATGATTTTACCTTTTGGATCTTCTTGTCCTGTGTTCCAAAACATGACACTACATATATCTTTCTTCTTAAATTCCCTGAACTTGAATTTCTCGAATTTGCATTCTTGTCTCCAATATTATCAAAATCCACTTGTCAGAGTAGAATCAGTGAATGACAGTGCATTTGGGGCCAGCCTGCATTCATCTGACTGAATTCCATGTTTCACTTCAAACCTCATATTTGTGCAAACTTTTATGTGGTCATGATGGAGAGCCTGTTTATAAATATGTGACTATCCCTTCCCTTTGCCTCTCCAACCTCTACACCAAGTGAATATTGTCTTTACTCAGGTTATTTTTATCCCTCTTTTCCAATATCTAGAGAAAATGTTTACCCAGTGATTTTATTTTTTAAAAAGTGAGTGGATATTCTTAAAAAACTGAAATAAAGGGGTGCCTGGGTGGCTCAGTGGGTTAAAGCCTCTACCTCTGGCTCAGGTCATGATCCCAGGGTCCTGGGATCGAGCCCCATATCAGGCTCTCTGCTCAGCGGGGAGCCTGCTTCCTTCTCTCTCTCTGCCTGCTTCTCTGCCTACTTGTGATCTCCATCTGTCAAATAAATAAATAAAATCTTTTAAAAAAAGCTGAAATAAAGCAAATAAAAAATTAATTTACATAATAAAGAGTTCAATTGAGCTATATGAGTAGAGATAGAAATATCAAAGTCTTAGGAAAGTGATATTATTCAATTTAGGAAGATATGCAGAAGGATAGTTTTTAGAGAACATTTATCCTGTAAGAGAAGTGGGCAAAAAGGCAAAGAAATCAACTGTGAGAAAGATTGCTATAGGTTATAAATAAAACCCCCTCTAAAGCACATTAAAATTAAAATTCTTCTGAAAGTTCTTTTGTTTGTTTGGTTTTACTATTTCAGATGTGTTTCTAAGCAAAACTGGGCCCTGGACATTTCACTCACAAGGTGGGCATCAGCAGAATTTATTTGGTTACACTTGGAATATCCTTCCATTATCCACCTTCAACCTAGATTTTTAAATCCTTACCCCGGGTCTAACCAGGCATGCCATCTTACTAAGATTGCACAACACTTGGACTAATGGTAGAAAGAAATGTTTCAGAAGGATGGATTAAGCTTAAGGCATTAAGATATTTGTAATATGTCAATAACATCAAGCAAAAATCAGAAAACTGATCAGAAGTAGGGATTATAATTTTTCAGAGGAGTCTCAGGTCAGAGATGGATGTTTCAGGTGGAGAATCAGATGTCTTGTGACATTACATGAATGCACTAAATTGAGATAGAACTGAGTTCTCCCTATGAAATGGATAATAACTAAAATATCAGATTCACTCAGTCTCCATAAACACTCCTTAAGGACTGAGAGTCATTTGGGAAATCAATCATTGTTCTATGTTGAAACCCTTTTAAAAATAAGTAAAGGGTGCCGGGGTAGCTCAGTCCATTGGTCCTTTGGCTCTTGATTTAAGCTCAGGTCATGATCTCAGGGCCTGTGCTCAGTGTGGAGTCTACTTGAGACTCTCTCTCTCTCTCTCTCTCTCTCTTTCCCTCTGCTTCTCCCCCCAACACTCTCTCTGTCAAAGTAAATAAAATCATTTTTTAAAAATCAGTAAAGAATTAAAATATATAAACTTAAAAAAAGAATGAAAAGGATAGTGGAGAAGAGATGAAAAAATGGTTTTGAAAGTTATAAAGTGGATGGATGGGTGGTCATGAATTAGTCAATCCAGAATAACACTGAGGTTAAGTATATAGGCAATGGTGTACAGGCCACTTACTAGACCCACGATCTGGGCAATTTACTTAATTTTTCTTTGTCATTGTTTCCTCCTCTGTAAAATAGTGATAGTAATACTTAGCCCATAGGATTATTGAAGGAGTTGAACACATTATAATATTTTAAATCCTTAGAAGAGTTCCTGGTTATAGTCATGAACAATAAGCATCAACAATTAGTAATAACAGACTGGGAAAATATGAAACCTAGGTGTCCAACAGGACCCAGACCTTGGGTAGCTTAGAGTAGACTAGTTTTTTTTTTTGAGTGAACTAGGAAACCATGGGGGGCATTTGAGCCAAGGAAAGACAATCTGACTCATGTTTCAACTGGAAGCTCTTTGCTACTCACAGATGGGATGAGGAAGACAATGTGAACGTGGAAAGATGTTTAAGGACAGAATGAAGACCAGTCTACCAGGACAATAGAAAACAGAAAACGGCAGCTTGGAGCAAGGTAGTGAACATGGTGAAATTTTGAAATTGTAAAGAAAAGGCCGACAGGATGTATCGATGCAGCTTGTGAGAAAAAAAAGATGAATCAAGGAAGCATTTCAAGTTTTTTGTTGTGAATAACTGAAAGCATGAAGTTGTAACTAACATAAGTGGGGAAAAATACAAGAGAGCATTTAGGGGGACAACATCAGGAGTTCAGTTTGGAATATACATTAGAGATTTCTATTAAGTTTCAAGAGGCGATTTGGACTGGGATACTGTGTAGTCAGCCTGAAATTCAGAGGATAAATCCAAGATGGTTATAAATTTTGAGTCATTAGCATGTAGATAATATTTAAAACAAAAAACAAAAAAAAAGGATGAATCGCTATGTAAATGTAAATCGAGTCCACCTGAAATTCTCTCCCTCCCTCTCCTTCTGCCCCTCCTCACACTCATGCTCTCTCTACCCCCTCTCTCTCTCAATAATTCCTAATTTCACAGTGTGAAGTGTTTATAATTGCTTGTGTCAAGGAAGGTATTTTAAGAAACTTAGTTAAAATTAGGAGGGCAGAAAAACATAAGGCACCTTCTTAGAAAAGTTAGTTGAAAGCAATCTGGAAGGAGGAAAAAGCTTTGGACTTTGTAGGTAGGGACTGAATTCCAACAACTGCAGACTCTAATGTCCCACATACGCCATTTAACTAACCATCATGACTCTTTGCTTATGGTGGAACATTAGATATGAAAATGAAACTTAGCTCATGGAGTTCTTTTGTTACTGATTTATATATGCGAAAACACTTTATAAACAGTGAAAAAACTAAAATGTATTGTTAGGTTAAAAAAACAAAGGGCAATATAATGACTCTAATTCATTCTGTTTTGATATATAGAAAAACAAAAGTGATAGTGAAGTAAGTTCTTTTGCACATACTTACACAGTTACGCAAATAATATTTTCATTAATAAGGTTTCCCATACAAATCTAATGGTAACTACATATGTTGGTCAGAATAAAAAATAAAAGAAAGAAAAGAATTTCTAAATACATTATAGGAAGAGTGTATAAGATGCAAAAGTTTTTAAACTATTTTTTAAATGTTAACAACATATTAAGGAAAATTTGAAGATATTTCCTCACTTATCACATGGTAAATGTGTATATCACAAATATTATTGTAATAATTAACCCTCTAAAAAGTTGGAAGATAATCAATTCAGTCCTAGTTTAAAAGAGGAGATCTTAGCCAAAGTTACGAATATCCTCTTATTATAAAACATATTATAACTAGTAAAATAATATGTAGTGCATTTCTGATCATTCCACATATTGATTTAAAATATTTGAAGAGTGCAAATTAGCAACAGTGAAAATGCCAAGTAAAACAAATTTCAAGTGATAGGAAAATAATCAAACTCCACATCATCATACATACTAGAAGAATGATCGCTTTGTAGTGTGCATGTCAAGATAGAAGCAAGATACTTGAAAAAGACACTTTGCACTATGCTACAAAGAAAACAGGGGAAAAAACTCCCCAAATCACATCAACTGTATTAGAATAATGAAAGTATCTGTACGTTTTCTAACTTCTCAATTTCCTAAATCTTCTATTATATAGTATTGATATTTTAAAATGACAGAAAATGGTAAATGACAGAATTTGATCTTCAAATATGTCGGTCATCCAAACAACAATTTAATGTTTACAAGGTAGTTAAAATTATTGAACCTCATAGGAAAAGAAGTCTAATCTGTCCTCAAAATTGTTGATTTTCCTTGTTTAGTAAAAGATAAACATTTAAAGTATATATATGTGTGCATGTATATACATGTGAGCATGATAATGCATAATTTGGTATATTTTAATCCAATTTAAAATAAGAAAATGCAGAAAGCACACATACCTTGGTGCTTACAATGTAAAGAACTTTTTCTTTCAGAAGTTGCAAGCCTTTGTCTTCCCTGTGGCTGAGATGAAGGTTGAAGTCGCAAATCAGAATATGTTACAGTTAATTCACTCATTACTGAAAAGCAGAGATACAACAAAAACGAACAGGAAAATGTATTTTCAATTCATGTAAATTGTGAAATCAGTAGGCAAAATTAGTTTCGAATAAAATAGCGCTGGGGATGAACTCAAATCACTAGCTATTAGAACAAGACTACAAAAACATGAAAATGGTTTAAGAATGGAAAAAATATGAATTCTTTAAAAAATTAGTTCATGGTTTGGTATGGTATGTCACTTTCAGTCTCTTTGCTGTTATCCATCCATAATTACAATTCCACAAATATCATTCACGGATATGTAAAAGTGCAAAATATGACACTGTGGCTTTATTGAAGTCGGGAGGATGAAGTTCATCTTTACAAGCTGGTGTCAGATTCTTCCAACAACCTCACCTGCTACTGTCCCTTTCCATCCCATCCTTCACATCACCAGTCCCCAACTTCCCATAATCCCACGGATACACTTACTCTTTTTCAACTGAACAAATGCACTTCTCCAACCTGCATGTTTTACTCAAATTCATCCTTCTCTGGTACATTTTCCTCCTATATTTGCTTATTATAATTTGAGTTTATGCAATCTGTAAATCAGATGCCACCACCTTTTCTTTTTTTACTGCGAATTCCCATCAGCTAGTTTTATATTTTTTAATATATTTTTTAAAGATTTTATTTATTTATTTGACAGAGAGATCACAAGTAGGCAGAGAGGCAGGCAAAGAGAGAGGGAGAAGCAGAGGATAAATCCAAGATGGTTATAAATTTTGAGTCTCTCTCCTGAGCAGAGAGCCTGATGCGTGGCTCAATCCCAGGACCCTGAGATCATGACCTGAGCCAAAGGCAGAGGCTCAACCCACTGAGCCACCCAGGCGCCCCAAGATGCCACCACCTTTAATAAAAACCCCAGATCCTTCAATAGCAACCTCTTCTTCTAGCTTTTCTCATTACTCTTTGTCACATTCTACCAATTATTTCCCCTTCTCTCAATTCCATTGATATCTAGCCCCTGTATTATGAACTCCTTGATATGTCTTACTAATGTTTGATATTGCCTAATCATTTTATTTCTTTATGCAGTAATAAAAACACTTAAATTTATCTTCAAAGATAATGTTCTATACACTCATTCGGGAAGACTTTGAAAAACATTTTTTCTTGATTAAAACATTTTAGAAAATTAGAAGAGAATCAATATGAGGATTCTTTTCTCTCTCTCTTTCTCTTACCAGAAGATAATATCCCCAAGTTCTTCACAATCACAAAACACCTCCTATGGGAACGTTAATTATGCTTTACCTTGATTGTTTTGTATTTTCTTATCTGTCCCCTTTAAACTCCTATTTCATATGACTTAACAATCTCTAGGGGTCGTAAAATGTATTATCAAATAATAACAGTGACTATAGCAATAAAATTACTAAAACAAATAATAATAATTAGAATAGTTTCTCTAAGATTACTGAAGCACCCCTCATTTCCCTCCTGGCATCTCTCTTTTCTTCAGTCTTTCTCCCTTTTTTTCCTCTCTGTCCTCTTTCCCTGCTCTGTTACTCACAATTTTATTACCTTTTCTTCCAAATGAAAAAAATAGAGATACAGTTATATAGATATATATCACATGAAAATACAAATATATATAAAATATTTGTACCTATATATGGATATATCAATCTGCCTTTGACTGTGTAACTTTTGTTTCTTTCAATTTAATTTCCCTCAAAATTCTAAAAAACACATGTTAAGAAATAGAATGAGTATCCGAGAAATTACAAGTACCTGATTTTTAGAAGCAGACGTCAGAGCTTTTGCAGAGTACCATGTATATCCCGGGAAGAAGAGGATCTTGACTCTTGTGACGGAAGCCTGAATTTAAGATTTTGATGGCCTCGATATAGATCAAGAGCCCAGAAAAGAAGCCAAGAAAAAAGAAAAAGAAAGGCACAGGCTAATATTGCCTTTGTCTGTCCTATAAGAGGCTGATAGATGAGTACAGAAGTCAAGAACAGGGGTTCTGGATGCAACCACATAGGAAACTGTTTTACTCTTGCTCAGTTTAGCTCTGTATCATCTCTAGATTGGGCATTTCACCAGTCTTACCTTAAATACACAAGTTTCCTAAAATATTTGCATGAATACCCAATTAGTTTCACTCAACCCTTGAACTGTCAAGATGCAATTGAATATACATTATTGATTAATGAGAAAGTAAGTTCAGATTTTTAATTTACTTTAAATGTACTTTATACATTCTACATTCAATTAATATTCTGGAAACATTATTTTTATTAACATTTTGTGATGTCTCTTTATTAACCCTTTCAGTTCTAGAGCAGGTAATGTTTTTCATCACTAGGTGGTGTATGTGTGATTTTTCACAGTAACTTCAGCATTTATGATCAGTAAGCCATCAATTCCCCAAGATCATTCTCATGAGTCATATTACCTAAAAAACAAAAACAAAACTACAAATATCAATCAATGAATTATTCACTTTCCTATAAAATTCATTTTCTTATTTTTTAAAAGAGGGTTTGGGGAGGGATGGGTGAGCCTGGTGGTGGGTATTAAGGAGGGCACGTATTGCATGGACCACTGGGTGTGATGCATAAACAATGAATCTTGGAACACTGAAAAAATAAAATAAAAAATTTTTTAAAGATTTTATTTATTTATTTGACAGACAGAGATCACAAGTAGGCAGAGAAGCAGGCAGAGAGAGACGAGGAAGCAGGCTCCCTGCTCAGCAGAGAGCCCGATGTGAGGCTCGATCCCAGGACCCTGGGATCATGATCTGAGCCAAAGGCAGAAGCTTTAACCCACTGAGCCATCCAGGCGCCCCTGTTTGCATCATTTTTATCATTTTTTCCTTTTGTACTTTTCTTCTGCTTTCCTCATGTACCACAATGTTCTATTTTGTGTTGTCTTCCCAATGCTGCATCTTTTAGGAGTTCCTTTAATGGAAGATTTTTTGATAAGAAACTCAGTTTCTGTTCATCTCTATATTCATTTCACTTTTATTTTTTGTTAATATTTTCTTAATTTGACACTTATTTTTTAATTTTATAGAAGTTACAAAAATACATAAAAGTAGAGAGAATGAATACAATACATAATAGAATAATCACCCATGTATTTTTCATCCAACATCACCAGCAATATTTTTATTTGCTGTAGTGTTAAGAACAACTTCCAATTCTTCTCCCAATGTCGAGGTGTTTTTGTTGTTGTTGTTTTGTTTTTAAAGATTTGTTTATTTGTTTATTTCACAGACAGAGATCACAAGTAGGCAGAGGGGCAGGTAGAGAGAGGAGGGGAGCAGGCTCCCTGCTGAGCAGAGGGCCTGATGGGGGACTCGATCCCAGGACCCTGGGATCATGACCTGAGCCGAAGGCAGAGGCTTTAATCCACTGAGCCACCCAGGTGCCCTACAATGTCCAGGTTTTATAACAAGTCTCATCTTGTCATCTTACATTTGATTATTCAGTGTGCAACTCTAACTGACTTATTTATTTTTATACCTTTTTTTTAAATTCTTTTTCAGTGTTCCAAAATTCATTGTTTGTTTACCACACCCAGTGCTCCATGCAATACATGCCCTGCTTAATACCTATCACCAAGTTCATCCCAGCCTCCACCCCCTATGCCAAAATCCTTAATTTTTCTCTCAGAGTCCACAAGCTCTCATGGTTTGTCTCCCCCTCCGGTTCTCCCCCACTCACTTCTCTCCAACTCCCAATGTCCTCTGTAGTATACCTTATGCTCCACAAGTAAATGAAGCCATATGATAATTTACTCTCTCTGCTTGATTTATTTCACTCAGCATACTCTCCTCCAGTTCCATCCACGTTGATATAAAAGTTGGGTATTCATCCTTTCTGATGGAGGCACAATACCTCCATAGTATATATGGACGTATCTTCTTTATCCATTCGTCCGTTGAAGGGCATCTTGGTTCTTTCCACAGTTTGGCGACCGTGGCCATTGCTGCTACAAACATTGGGGTACAGATGGCCCTTCTTTTCACTACATCTGTATCTTTGGGGTAAATACCCAGTAGTGCGATTGCAGAGCCATAGGGTAGCTCTATTATACCTTATTTATTTATTTTTATACCTTTTTCACACTTCCAGTCTCTGTTCTTTTCAAACCACGATTTGTCAAAGAAAATGGTCATTTTTCTTGAATGCCTTACATTCTATATTGATGTGATTGCTTTCTCTGAATATTGTTTAACTTTTCCTCTACTCCTTATTTCCTGTTAACTGATAGTCAAACATAGAAGATTCATTATATTCAGGTTCTCTCTGTTTGTTTTTGGTTAAAAAACCTTCATAATGTAGTTTTGTTATCACCATTTAATCTCACAATGTGGTAAATAATACCGACCTGCCCCATGTGTTATTAACTAAGATTATTTCATGGTTTTAGATGACATGAGCCTGGTCCCTATAATATGTCTCCTCCTCAAAGTTTCACCTAATGATTTTAAAATCAGTTGATGTTTCTCACTAGCTTCATTATTTTAATAAGGTTTGCAACATAGAAGTTTTCTAATCCTATCATTCTTTCTACATTTATTTATTTTATTATGTTATGTTAGTCACTATAGAGTACATCATTCATTTTTGATGTAGTGTCCCAGGATTCATTGTTTTCGTATAACACCCAGTGCTCCATGCAGTATGTGCCTTCTTTGATACCCACCACCAGGCTCAACCATCCCCCCTAAAGCCCTCGGTTTTTTTCTCAGAGTCCAAAATCTCTCATGGCTCATCCTCCCCTCTGATTTTCTTTCCTTCACTTTTCCTTTCCTTCTCCTAAATTCCTCCATGTCATTCCTTATGCTCCACAAGTAAGTGAAACCATATGATAATTGACTTTCTCTGTTTGACTTATTTCACTCAGCATAATCTCCTCCAGTCTCATCCATGTTGATGCAAAAATTGGATATTCATCCTTTCTGATGGCTGAGTAACATTCCATTGTGTACATGGACCACATCTTCTTTATCCATTCATCTGTTGAAAGGCATCTCGGCTCTTTCTACAGTTTGGCTATTGTGGACATTTCTACTATGAACATTGGGGTACATATGACCCTTCTTTTCACTACATCTGTATATTTGGGGTAAATGCCCTGTAGTGCAATTGCTGAGTCATAGGGTAGCTTTATTTTTAATTTTTTGAGGCATCTCCACACTGTTTTCCAAAGTGGCTGCACCAACTTGCATTCTCACCAACAGTTTAAGAAGGTTCCCTTTTTTCCACATCCTCTCCAACATTGTTGTTTCTTGCCTTGTTAATTTTTGCCATTCTAGCTGGTGTACAGGGGTATCTCGATGTGGTTTTGATTTGAATTTCCCTGATGGCTAATGATGATGAACACTTTTTCATGAGTCGGCTAGCCATTTTTACTATCTCTCAAAAACTTCCCTTCTTGAAGTCTTTGGATACTTTGAAATGGAATTCACAAAATTCACAAACAGAAAGCAGGAAAAATGTTCAGTTTTTACTAAATTTTATGAATTTTCAGGGTAATCAGTTCTTTCCTGATAATCTTTCATCATGACAATTGCAACTGTCCATCAGAACAATGTATTACTTGAAATATAACCCATGGGAAATTTTACTAGTTACCAAGCACATTTAGATATAGCCTTAAGAAAAATACATACTGGCAACAGGCCTCTGGGGGAGAAGACGATATATGGCCTTGAAGCTGAGCAGCTGGGGATGCCCGGCTAGCTCAGGGTGGAACGCCGCCTGCTTCATTTTTCCGTTATCTCCCCTTTCCCCTCAGAGAGCACCCGTGGCTAATTTGATAAGTCCATTGAATGTGCTTGTTAAACTATAAACTTTATACTGCTTGTCTAGAGATATTTTGCCTTCCTTCTTGTTTATCTATAAGGCATATGACTAATGTTTGGACTTCTTCGGCTCTTCTGTTGTTTACTGTTTCTATCTAATAAAAGCGGGACTGAGGAGTTGTTCATAGCAACAGTCTTTTCTACTGTTGTCCCCTGCTCCCTTTCTCTTGCAGCTGACTGGTTTGTGCCTCATTTTTCTTGTGTTCACTGACAGGAAGCAGCAGACAATAACTTTCCAAATGCAATAATAAATTCATGCACTTTGATATTTTATTTGTCTCCATCTATAATAATTATTATGATATTCTATTTAAACCTATCACTATTTTGCCATTTCACAATTTAAAATTGCCAGTGGAAACACCTTTAAGTTGATTAATGAGTCCTTTTCACACTGTTTCCAGGTAAGGTTTATGTTGTATAACTTCTTTTGTAATCTGGCACAACTAATTATCCTAGTGAAATTTGTGTGTGTGTCTGTGCATGTGTCCTCACCGCCCTATCAGAAATTATTTATTTCTCCAAAGAATCCTGGTTGCCATTAATGATGGTTAATATTTGGACATGATAAGGTGGGCACTGGGAGTGTTCATTAATACTGGAATGCCATTGCTTCGATAACTTTTGGTGTATCAAGCCAAGAAATATTTACATAATTTTAAAAGATATACTTCAATACTTTAAATTTTAAATGATGGGCACTTTACCTAAACACTTTGATTTTTCTAGTTGTATCCTTTTCTTACACTGTAATTCTTGTTCTTTTATGATATTAATACAATTGCATATGTACTTTTTCTATATCATACATATAATAATTTCAAAATATCATTACCAATATTATAACTAAAAAGATTGTGACATACTATTTTATTTTTTTATTTTTTTAAATATTTTATTTATTTATTTGATGGACAGAGATCACAAGTAGGCAGAGAGGCAGGCAGAGAGAGAGGAGGAAGCAGGCTCTCCATTGAGCAGAGAGCCCGATGTGGGGCTTGA